TATATATATATTTTTTTTTTTTTTTTAATTGGAGTTTTACAAATTATTTCAGCGGATTTTTAAGGAGTGACGTTCTAATAGGGACGGTCAATGTAAAACTTTTTCCTCTGGAAACAAAATGTACAATACATGATTCTTTTGATGTAAGTAATACTATAATTGTTTTTTTAATTCAATGATTTAAAAGACTGTTTTATTTTTGTTCCAGTTGATGAATGGAAAGAAAGTTGTTGGTGGAAAACTGGAAGTTAAGATACGATTGAGGCATCCTATTATTGCAAAGCAAGTTGAACAAGTGCGAGAGAAATGGCTTGTTATCGATTAAATCCACTAACACATAATTTACTATTAATACACAACAACCGTGATAAAAATATTTTAAAAAATATATAAGAGTTAATTACTGCTCATTACCATTTTCAATTCAAAGCAAAACATTATAATAATATGTACAGTGTAATTTTTTTAACTGTTCTATTTATAGAGATGAAAATACATGTTTGTTGATGTACTTTAAAGCAGCAAGTGCCTGATAAATAAATGTTTTAACACATTAGTCATTTTTTTAAGTATATGTAATGGCTTAACACATTTGATTGTTTCTTTTCTTCTCACATGTGATTAGAAAAATATATGATCTATTTTTAAAAGAATTACTATAATTATTAGCAAAACTGAGGTATGCGATCTCACACTCAACAGCACTTTTTTTTTTTTTTGCTTAATAGGAAAATTATTTTAGTAGTTCCATTTTGTTATATTTAGTAACCCAATTACTGCTCTTTTTAACGTTATAATTTTTATGCCATAAAACTTTTTTTTTAGGGTATTCAGATAGTTTCAGACAGGTTTTGAGTTGATCTTATAGGCTTGGAGAACCTTTAGAGCTGCCTGCTCTTACCACAGATAGATATAATGTGGCTATCTGACATTATTATTTTTGCACCCTTATGATGTTTGCTATTTATTTCTTGTATGCATAGAATTGATTGTGGGACCAGGGGGCATACGCATTACTCAACTATGTGCTCATAGCTAAGTCCCTTTTTGCCTGTACGATTCCCACATCTTTGAGCCAACTGTGTACCATAAAAGAGATCCAGATTTTTTTTTTTTAACTGTCCATTTTTCTCCCTTTTCGATAATTGAGTGTTTTTTCAGTCTGGTATTTTCAAGTCAGTGATAGTTTTTGTCAGTTATTTCACTTTATTGTTTGACAGCTTGCTTTGTCGTCGTCTGCCTATCTTCGCTGATAGTTGATAGTTCAGACGCTTTTCGGCATTTTGTCATTTTCAGGGTCAGAAATCATTCAAATAATGTGTCTGAACTAACAAAAATCAGCAAGGATAGGCAGACAGGATGATATGTAATTATCAAACAAAAGGTTTACCACCCCACCCAGCAGACCACAGCAGAAAATTTCACAATATTTCAACTTAGTTGAAAATTTGGGTATGGCCAGCATTTGTTTAATACTTTTTTTTCTATGGTCAATGAATCCCCAATTTAATGATTAAAGGATTAAAATGTTTGTTCTAGGTATGACAAAGATGTTTTTGCCTACTTGCACTATTAGCATTTGGTGAAGTTGTGCAGTAATCTCACTTGTAGCCATTTAATGATTTTTAATACGACGACATATTCCATTTTACCAGCCTAGGAAATCAAATGCATACATGCAACAATGACTGTAAAAGTGTTGGAATGAAAATCAGCAAGTGTCCTAAATGTGTGTTAAAAACAAGATCAGGTTGTTTCATAATCAGATCAATACCAAAGGTAAATTAATATTAATAAATTAAAAAACTTAAAAAAAGACTACATTAGTTTTGAAGAAATGAGAGGAAAACCTACAAAAATTGAATTTGTATCAAAGATCCAAACTTTAAAATCGCAATCCTGAACAGTTATTTTTTTGTCTAATTCAGTTTTGCCCTGAGGGAACAGAAACTATGTTAAATTCAGGGAAACTCTTCTTCTCAGTTAGAATAGGCCTGAAGTGGTTGACACACAAATGTGTCCCTCACATTAGGGTGTCAAGTTTGTGTTTAAGCATTACTGACATGGACATTTTTTTTTTTTTTGTGGATTTTAAACCAGTTGCTACTTTATTACCATTGGTTACAAGTGCCACAGTTGCTGTAGCATTGCTTATTGTAAAATATTTGTAAATTGATTAAACTAACTTTTAGAACCTTTTTAATACCTTATATTTAAAATAAATAAATAAATGGTATTAATTTAATTTTTGAATGGCCATTGCAGTGGAACAAAAACTGTTTTTATGGGTGTTGTTTTATGTATAGCTTTTTATTGTTTCAATAGAACAACATAAATCATCTATAGACCATCTGAGTGATGTATAGCTTTGATAAAGTAGTTATTAAGTTTTAATTCGAAATTAGCATAGAAAAAAGGAACTAGTACATACAATGAATGTACAGTTATATTGCGCATAACAATTTTTGCCTCTGTGGTAAAGGGCTGTTGTATCTAGGGACTTATAAAACTTGTCCAAATATGCATATTCGATTAGAAATTTTCTAAAATCTCATACCTGTTTTAGAAAAGTTTGAAAAGAATCATATTGTCTAACAAATGTTTTGATATTTACTTTAATTCAAAATTGCCTTTAGCCATGGTTTAGTTTTAAAAGTTGAGGTAAGTGATTGTTTAAACTACTGTCTGCTGTCTTTTTGTTTCTAACAACACTTTATGCTTGCACAGTTGGCCCATTTTGTTCATTGGGAGTTATGAGTCCAGTTGTTGGACTTAAAATGGTTCGTATAACTTTTAGGCTCTTGCCATGATACAAAACACAACTTTTCTGAACAATGGCAAACACAATCTCTAAGGTTGAAAATTTTGCAAACTACTTTCAAGAAATAGCCATGAATACAAAGAGGACAGAGCTGTTAGAAGTCAATGTTTCAGACGAGAGTAAGATGCTAAATTTTGTAAGAAGATATATTTCTTGTCAAACTGAAGTTAAAAGAAACATATTTTACCTATTTGATTGACCACATTATGTTATTAACCATTATTTACATATATAAAAAAAACATGCACATAACATGTGACAATTGTGTAATATTTATTATTTAAAATTTTTGAACAAATTTAAATACTAACTTTTGTAACAAATAGGCTTAATGGAAATTTTCTTGAACTCGGATCCTTCATTTGCATTTGTAGCCATTGTGGTTATTATTGTGAGTGCGCTGAGTGTGTTGATCTTACTCTTCGACTTTTACACTCCGATCCCTGATGGTCCACGAAGAAAGTCGCAATTTTTCGTTTTATTTGAGTTCAACATCAGGTACTGTGTTCCTATTACATAGTAAGCTTTATGGTGCATGTTAATTTTCTTTTTAGGAAAATATTTCTGGCACAGACACCAGACACACTGAGCACATTGTGTTGTGGAGTAAAAACAATACTCGGTAACCAATGTGAGCGACCTTGCGTCTTTGTTTTCTTGGCCACATCAGAATCACACTGCACAGCATTGGCCTTGGCAAAAAAACTGGCTCAAACTATAATTGTGAGTTTCAACAATGAACTATCAGTTGAAAAAGTGCACAAAGTTGTGATGAAAGGCTCAAAATACACATCTTTTGAAAACTACTGGGATTTTCATCGAGGCCTAAGCAAACGCATGGAAACAACAAAAGTAGCTATTGTTACCGAATTTCAAACCATTCATCCACATGTTGCAACTGTTTTAACCACTCTTGCAGACGATGCTTTCTCTCCATTTCCTCAGGTAAACTTTTTACAATGCACAATTTCTGCACCTTGTCTTGGCAACAACAGGTATTGACTTTTTAATCTTTGCATTGCAGTCTGTCATCATTCTGTTGCTTAGCATAGAAAACTTCTTCAGTGGGAGGGACTTAATTAGGAAAACCCCTGTCTCTCTAGCAGAAACATACCTCGAACATATAATGAGTGCTTTTCTTGATTCTTCTACAATGAAGGAGCTACAGAGGTGCACTTGTGGAAGAGCTGTGCTTATCAACAGAGAAAAAGTTATTGAGGTGGCCTAAATTGTTAAAATTTTGGTTAAACAAATTGGAAAAACACATGACTCAAAATCAAATGAAACAACAAAATATCTAGAAAATAATGCTTTCTCACATGGAAAATTACAAAATAATACATGAAATAATATCAGTTTGTTTATTTAATATTTAATAATATCATTTACATGAAAGTTGGTAATAAAACATTTATAATTATTTTGGCTTTAAAATTGCAAAATAGGTTGTTAGGATTTTAATAAAATGTAAACAAACAACTGGTAATGACCCTAAAAAAAGTGCTCATCAAATTCAAGGTAATCTCGAAACCGCGTTCTACCAGGTAGTATCTGATTGCTTGCTGAGCTCAGCTTATTCTAACGCAAATGCAAAGAAACATCACTGAGTAAGCAAATACCTAAATGAGTCACTGTTTCATAATGGATTATGACATGGTACTCTTGAATTTGCAACAATTTATAGACTGTAACTGTGTACATAAGATGAGTAATATACTTTCATGTGCATGATATGTACATCACTTTCATTTCTGGCATAGCAGAGTAGTCTTATTTTGCATAAGGGAACTAGGTGCATTGCTTATAATACTGCAAAACATTAGGAAGTCCCTTTTTGTCTTTTGCACACACCACCTCATTCTTTTACCAATTTGTGGACATATAAGATGATGTTAATATGTGCAGCAGATTCTTCCTGTTCCAGAGTCTGCGTTCTGGTAGAGTTCTTAATTATTTTACATGTACATAAGCTTATCTAGAATTATTATTTCACAAACACTCTGGCTCAAGGTATGGTCTTGAAGAGAAAACAAATTCACTTGTTACTACCAAGCTTTTGACCTTTTTTGAGGTCATCATCAGGGCAAAACAATCTTAAATATATTTACAGATTGACATATTTAAGTTTTTTACAGATGATCTCAAATTTCCTTGAAGACGGATTCAGTCCCAACATTTCCAAGGACTGTAACAGTGTCTGGTCTTCAAGGAAATTTGAGATCGCCTGAAAAAAACCAAAAAAAAAAAACAAACCTTTTATGTCAATCTGGACATATTTAAGATTGTTTTGCCCTGTTGATTACCTTAAAATAGGTCGAAAGCTTAAGAGTGACAACTGAATTTGTTTTCTTCTTCAAGACCATACCTTGATCCAGCATTTGTGAGTGAAAAAGTGGTCGATATTTCTAATACTGAAAATTATTTCAGCTGGCTACATGTCAAGCCCAAGTTAAATTTTTATATAAAAAAACCCCTGTTTTGTATGAGGTCTATCAAACAAATCAACAGTTGCAAATGAAATGAGGGTTGCAAACAAGCCATCCTAGTTGAGAAAGAAAATACTGTGTGGTGTATATGGTGAAACTTTGGATTAGTGTTTCACATTGATGGGCATCCAGCCACAACCACTTCTCCGTGTGACCACCTATTCCAGTTCAATACATTCCAGGACATTTTTTCCATGAACTCATGGATTTATGAAAAAAATGGTTATGCCATGTTTTTGCCCTTAAGACATGCTGAATGATAAAGGTGGGGGTGTGTTGTTTATTCTTATTCAGAAATCGTGAGATGCGGTCTGTGTGATGTAGGTTTCATAAAAACATTTTCTGTATTGTTTATTCTCTTTAAACACAGTTCTTACTCAGTTTGTTGTTTCCTTCTGTACGGATTTCAAGCTTAAAGTTCATCATCATGGTGAAGGAGATACAAACACGACTCTCGATGTATGAGTGAAACCGCCGATCAACCGCCAACGCGATGTTCCAATGAGAAGCAGGTTTTGATGCCGCTCAATTTTGAACATGACAAAAAGTGGGAATTATAATAAAAACTAAAAATTATCCTAACACATACAGCATGAAAAATAATAGTTCATTTGTCATTAATGTGTATTTCAAATATTATGTAGGTACATATTTAAAAAATTAGATCAATCAAAATCAATATAGCCACATGGCCCTATATATTTAATATAGCATTAATTTCAATTAAGTTGGTAAACACCCCTTTTTGACAAGTTGGCGTTCTTGTCTTTAGGCCTTGAGAAGAGGTTTCCAACGTTCTAGAATGTTCTTTAATACCCACCCCAGTAACCATGAAACTTTCAAGCTTAAAATTTTTTCCTACTTTTTCTGATCTTCACCAATGGTAAGCATCAAAAACCTAATGATTCATTTTTGGTAGGGTGGCTGAGTCCAATTGTTGCTTCTTTTAAAGTTAATTTTTTTTCCATTAAATATTCTTTTTTATCTAAGGAGCTTGACTCAAACTGAAGGTTGTGGGTTCAAATCCTGCTCGTGACACTTCATCTCAACCAAGATAAAAAAGAATAATTAATTGAAATAATTAATATGGTCAATTATGACCACTAAACATATATGGGCTAATTTTTTTATACTTTTTAAATTTGAAAAAAAAAATTAAAATAAAACATGGAGGTAAATGTACACATAATATAATAGTCTAATTCATATTTGTTTATTGGTTGTAATTGACCATATTATTTTTTAGCTGAGGTTTTTGGTTAAGATGAAAAATTAGTGTTCCCATAATCCCGTTCGTGTCACTAATTTTTCATCTCAACCAAAAACCTTAGCTAAAAAGAATAATTAATTGGAATATAATAGATTATGATTTACCTCCTATTTTAATTATGTACCTTAAATTTATGATATTAATGAATTGATTTGTTATTATTTAAATTTATTATTTATCAATCTATTATTAATTTATTAGTTTTATTTTATTAATTGTTAATATTTAAGTAATTAATTGAATGCTTATAATTCGTTCAACCTGATCATGAGCATTAAAGATTGAAATTTTTAATTGACATTAATGACATTGATTATGTGGAGATCATGAGATGCGGTCTGGTGTGACGTAGGTTTAGAAAAACATTTTCTTTATCGTGCCAACGTTTCGATCTTTATTGAGACCATCTTCAAGTCCTGGGATTTATAAACATTGTTTAAATTATACAAATTATACACACCAGACTAACGATCACTAAACACCACATATTAATGACTTACTTTGTAAAACTTTCTGGTAATATAATGGAATTTGCTGATGATAGTTATACTTTTTCTGCCAAGAATTATGATGATATAATAAAAAAATGTTAATGTTGAAATAATAGTAATTTCTTTCTTTTAAATATATGTAAAACTAAAATCATCAAATTTAGTTTCTCAAATCAAAACTATTTAAATGAAAATGTAGTATTACATTCTGGTGTAAATTCATCTAACTGTAATTGCCCTTTTCTCAACAAATTAAATATTAGAAATGATAAATAGAGTGAGTATGTTGTTCAATCAAAAAGATAGTTCCTGCTCACAGGTAGTGATTTAATTTTTTTTAATGAATAGACCTAATTGTCCGTGGGATATTTAGTTTTTTGATGTTTACATTTTCCAAGTTTTGTTTAATTACTTCAGCACATTTATATTTTATATTGATAATTACGCTACAACTATCTACCAATGACCCAAGGGAGTAGTTTTTTTATTTATTCAATTCTGTTTTTGGTATAAATTTTAAGGCTTTATTTAATAAATTGTTTTCTTCTTTATTTAGTACCATGTTTGTCAAATTTATAACCCATGGGTAACATTTAATTGGAGTTGTTTGGTCTTTATGAGTATTTTGATTTGTAAGTGTACCGTACTTCATGTTTTTAATTTTTTGAATCCAATATACTTTGTTTTTTGTCAATGATAAATTTAACTTTTGATCACGTATCATAATTGAATTTATCCCTAATGTGTACAAGATATACATAAAAGCATTTTGTACCTCTTAGACTGTACAATTTATGTAATTAATTATTTAATATGTTTTTATGGCATTTATGTTGTAAGGGAGTTAAACAGTTCTTAATATTTAATTTAGCAGAAACGAATTTTGGGGTTAGTTTTAACTTCAAACATTGGGAATTGAACCAGGTTGATTTTTGAGCATGAAAGTCTTAATTTATAATAAACTTTTAAGAGTTCTTGTTTACTGGCTGATTTTAAGTAAGTGGAGGTAGTGTTATTAATTGCGTTATAATCCATTACTACTTTGACTAGCACATTAATAGAAATGATAAATGGTGGAGTGAGTGTGTTATTCAATCTTTTTAAAAAGAAGTTAAATATTTGGGAATAATTTTTGATAATAAATTGAACTTAGGATAGAGCACGCTCTGCTACTAAAATTTTATAAAATTGGTTGTTAAAATTCTTGAATTTGTAAAATAAGATTTTTAAGTAAGTATATAGAATAAAATTGACATGATGCAAACAATTATATTTATGATCAATTTTCAGTAAAAGCTAACAAAAATAAACAGTTTGTAAATTGTTTGTTTTTAACCTTAAAACTAAAAAAAAATTCTTTTTTACAATAAAAAAAATAAACATTAATTCTTTCCCTATCCCAAATTAATTATAAATTAAAATTTAACTTTCTTATCTGATTAACGAATAGAAAAGATTTCCTTCTTGAGAATAGGTGTTTTTCTTCATCCCTCAGCGTCGATAAATCCGTCTCCTTATTTTTTTTATTTTATTTTATTTTATTTTTTTTTTTTTTGAGAAGTTTGCGGTACAGTGTTCAGCGAAGGAAAGTTTCATATTGATGCTATGTTAAAAAATTCAGAAAATTATTTTATAAATTTAAAATTTTAAGAAATATTCTTCAGCCATATTTAACGAGGTTTGTTTATCTTGCATTAGCACAATCCTTGTTAACATATAGGATCTTAGTTTGGGGTGGTACCTCAAAATTTACAAATTCTCTAATACAATTGCTCATAATTCTTTAATAAAAATATTGCTAAATAACATAGAAGTTATAACACAAAACAACTCTACATTGATTTTTAGAGTTGAAAATCAAACCATTATTTTTTCAAACAATTGTCTTCATATTTATAATACCCATTATGGACTTCAATTACACTACAAGAAAAAATGCATTAATGTAATAAAATTTGTTATTCCTAAAGTTAACCCATCCATATAACAATGCATATAATGTAGGATTCATATATCTAAACAAAATACATATAAATTCCTTTCTCTCTTATGATCAATTTAAAAAAAAAAAAAAATTAAAGAAGAGGAATTTTTAAAAGTAATGTAAAAATATAATAAAATAATTATTTAAAAAATTACTTATAATGTCAATAGTCAAACAACATATATACTGCTATCACTAATTTGTATAAATATGTTTTTGTTTATTTTTGTAATGTATAAAACTATTTGCGATCTCTCAAGCAAAAGTTAAACTTACTGAGAGGAGGTTCTTAATTTTACATTATTTTGTTCTACATTATCATTTAATATTTTTTCTCTCAGAATATGTATTCAATTTACAGCAAATAAATTTATATTTGTCTTTGTCTTAAAAGAAATCTGGTTAGTTGAAGACAACAAACCGTGAGTAAGAGCTGTTTAAAGAGATAAAAACTGTCTAACTGGGGTAGGGATCATTTTTCGGTTGAACAACTGGTTTTTTAAAAATTATTTTGTGATTGAATTAATTTTGCTTGCTTTTTGATATACATTCCTTTTTCCTGCGTCGGTACTTTCTGCCTAACCATCAAACGCTAAAACTTTTTCGTATTTCAACGCATTTAATTGTTCAAATTAAAAAGAAGCCAAAAAATTGCCATTTTTCGGTACCACTTTCTCAAAATTTCTTTGGTCTATTACAACCAATCTTTTTTCTTTTGCTTTTCTTAGTATACTACGAATTAGTAGCTAAGAGTTTTGTAAAAATAGTGATTCGTTAATTTTTTTAGATCCTATGTATTTTTTGAACAAATTGCTCGCTACGGTTGTACGACGCCTATTAATAAAGTACAACTCTTCAGAAGCGATTCTCTGATCGAGCTCGAATTTTTCCCGATGTCGCCCAATTTACGCCATAAAATCGTTAACCATCTTCTATTAGGACTAGGAGAGGTGATGTTTTAGTAGGAAAAAAGTTTTTGACGAAATATTCACAAAAAGCAAGAGTCTTCAAACAGAGAGGGATGGTGAGTTGCATGTTCATCAAATCGAGATACCAAAACATTTGATTCGCACCTCCAAAAATTATTTTTCGACCAGTTTCATTCCGTGCAAAAAAGATTTTTTTTTAAAAATCAGAACAATGGCAAAAAAGTAACGCTTTGGCACAAGGAAAGTACAATTGAGTATAATGGAGAAGAAAATTTGAAAAGTGTAATAATACATCAAATGAAAAATAGGCACCGCTCTCTCACGCTAGAGATTCCGGGTTCGAACCCGGCACTGTCCATGGAATAAATTAATTTAGTAATAATATGTAAAAGGTATTGTAAAGTGTAAAGATATTGTAGAGTAATTCCCAGCGCAGTTGACGTTAGCCCTCCTGTAAGACAGAAATTACTTTATTTACTTTAAATGAAAAGTTCATTTCACAAAAACTATTTTGAATCTATATGGGCGTAGAGCAAGGTTGTTTACTAAGACATCTACTTTTCTCGTTATTTATACACACTCTTGTGGATTTATTGGTAAAGAAACGTAGCAAAAAATTTGAAGAAAAATACTTAAACCAAGGAAAATTAAAGTTTTCTTCTGTTAAACAACAATAAATAATAAACGGGTCAGTAAACTATCATATAAATATTTGCATTTTTTGCATTTATTTTGCTGTGCGATGGTTTTTAAGTTTCACAAAACTCAGGTGTCATTGTTTATAAACATTTGTAACCTTCAAGGTTCAAAACATTGACTGTATAAATTTCCTTGTTTCGACATTTAAACGTACGCTTCTCTATGCAAAGGGTGAAAAATTCCTTTTTTGCAGTTTTCTGACTCAGGAAGGCGTGTCCAAGCACTTGTTTCGTGATTCATCTGTATCATCATATTTGTATTTTCATCACGTATAGGAATGGACAATCAAAGGCATTGCTGAAGTGACAAATTTCCGCTGGTAGATATTATTTTTTATTAGCAGCGAGGTAAATTGCAATGACTAACCTTTTTTACCTAAGAAAACCTGGAGGACTCATTGCATCATTACGCTCAGAAAAGCTTCTATTACAACATAAATTAGAGAGGATTGTCTTATTAATAATATTCAGGATATGTCTTAACATATGTGATGAGGTTTGATTTCACCCTGCGAATTAAACCCAACATACCGGCTGACAAAGTTGAACAGGATGATGGATTAGAGTTGTGGTTCAGCACAATTTTCGAAGGCAACAGTACGTTTAAAAATTATACTATGCGGGATTAAGCATTATTTATTTGCGAAGTGCAATCAGAAGCACCCTCTCAAAAATAGACCATTAGAATTAGGATTCGCCATTTAATCGTCTGACAGACCAATACAGCGAGAGTACCAAAATGCTCGATAATGAGTTAACGACTGATTCACTTATGTTATGCATATGCTTATTTAAGATATTTAAGAACAATCAGTACATTTCTATGTAGGAATAGGATTTTTCCATTTTGTTATTGCATGTTATCCCTTTTATTTTGTTTTCCACCAGGAAATATTTATTCTATCAATTTGATTAATGCGAAAATTTGCTAATGATATCCATTGGATAGAAATATTTTACTTAAAAGTATCTTTTATACTAATGTATTAGAATTAAATCAAAATGTCCGACGATTTTCAGAGTGATTGACGATAATTTTTGTTCAACGCATTATTTCTGTCCATACAAATGTGTATTAAAAAAATAGTCTGCGGCAATAAACTAAATTATAATGCAATATGTATGTTTGTTCAATGGCGAAAAAAATTTCCTTGATTATTAATTACACGTTCTGTGAGGGTTCGAAGTTTGACCTCATCCGTTAGAGTGTGTAATATACAGTAAATCAAACTAAAATTCGGATCAATTACCACACGATTGTCACGACGATGGACGAGTTCATGGCATTTTCTAAATTTACCTATAGTTTAATATTAACAAAACACATTAAAAAACGTCGTTTCGCGTTGATGTCAGTAAACGAAGGTCTTTTGAAATATCCAATAAGTATAATATAAAAATATCCTTCTATTTAATAAACCAAAAGAAAAATCAGGGAGAGAGAGAGAAAGAGAGAGAGAGAGAGAGAGAGAGAGAGACGGAGAGAGAAAGAGAGAGAGAGAGAGAAAGAGAGAGAAAGAGAGAGAGAGAGAGAGANGAGAGGGAAGAGGAAAATGAGAAAGAGAAAAATAATTTTAATGAAAAAAAAAAATTTGTTACCTCTACAGATAAACAGAAATATTTATGTGGAGTTGTTCGTACTATAAAAATTGTGCAATATCTAATTTTATTTTGTTAGATGTTATGGTAGATCGAAATATCTAGGTAATACGTAATAACTAATGAACTTCAGAAAAAAATCGTAGAAATAACACTAATGTTTGAAATAATTTGTTTAAAAAACTATTAACTTTGTTGGCAATCCAAAATAATAAAGTGCAACAAAACCAAATCTTTAACATTGATGAATTACACACTAATATAATTAATTTTATATATAAGAAATTAGACAGAATAACAAAAAATTATCTACCATCATGTAAATTCTATTTTTTTTTTTTTTTTAGAAACCAATTGTGAAAAATGGATTAAAAAACAAATGTTAAAAGTACTGAAAAATAAAAAAAGGTATGTAAATCATTGATGGGATATATTTCTATTAAACTTACTGATTAGGTTCAGAAAAGTTAAGAATAATGGAAATAACGTTCAATTATTTTTTTTCTTTCATTTTGTCGGGGAGAAGAAATATTTTTGGTGAACCAAAATGTCCAAAATTGTTGCTTTGATATTACATTATTATAAACAAACGTTAAAAAAAAGAAGCGCGATCTTTATGTCGCCAAAAATGGTCAAAATTATTTTGGGCGATATGTCTCATGTCTAAACAAAAAATGCAGATATGAGTGTTTGGATAAAATATGAATTGAAACAACGTCGAGTGCGGAAAAAACTGAATGATAATTTTTTAATTTTTTTTACAGTCAATCGTGATTTTCCCTCCAAAATCGAGAGGGGGGATGGCAGCATAGCGCTAGCTACGGCAGCTCCCAACAGAATCAGTCGGCAACTCGCCAACGAAGAGTCAACGCCGTAAGGAGTCTCTTCTGGGCCCATTCAAATTTATTAATTTTGAAATTCGCGAGTGATACATTTAAAGGACACAATGAAGAATAGTGTTTACTTGGTGTTTTGTCTTGGAATTTTTTCCGCTTCGTATCGAGGTAAGCAAAAATTGACAACATTCTTGCATGATAATTTTTTTTTATCGATAAATTTCCTTCAGGGCTTGGGTAGGTTTGTAACGCCTCTATCAACTGAAGAGACCAGTTAATTTATTAAGAAACCAATAAATTTAATAAAATCCCGTTAATCCTGCAAAATGTTAATGGCAATTCTTTTGAAATATGCGACTAAATACAAAGAATTAAAAAAACCTCAAATCCATTAGTAAATTATTTAAATTAAATTTAAATAATTATTTAGTAAATTATTTTATTAAATTAAATTTAATTTAATCTGCAATCTTTAGTACTTTACAATTTAAAGTACATTTGAAAAATTTTCATAGTTCATTTTTTTAAAAACTATTTTGTGGAAAGATCAAGGAATTTATGCAGAAGGACCCAAAGAGTCCATACTCGGCTGGATTTGGTGCGCACGTCTTGTTCTTCAGCACCACCCAAGTCAATATTACCTCTGTAATATCCTAAAGCTCTTTTGAATATTTTTTTACCCTGCCTAAGTCATTCGCATCTTTGATAGCAACTGGGACTTCGCAAAATAGTATAATTGTTCAAATTTTATCCGCCTTAAAACCGCACATTCTTGCGCCAACGAGCCTATTCCAGAAATTGGCAATGCCCAATAAATAAACTAAAGATCGTAAATTAAAGCTGTAACAGTCCAACCCAGAAGAAACGGCTAAACAAATGTCATCAACAAACTTGCATTGAAACGGTGCGGTTTGTAGGGTGTTTAGAGTCATTTCAAGACGCCTCTTCTCGATCTCTCTTTTATAAACTGTTTAATTCTACTCGGGAGAATAGGGGCAAAACAACAGTTATTTTATCCCAATGGTTTGTTTTCGTATTGTTTATGTCTAATTTCTGTTTAAGACGTTTTTACTAGGTGGGAAAACGGCAAATTATACTTTTGTTTATTTAAATCCTTTCGTCCCTGGTTGCGACAGACCGCAAAATGAACTGGCCGATCCTTTCACCAGTTTCTTGTCTTTTTATCAACATTATTCAAGGCGATATGGTTACATTTTCTAATTTGATTTTGAAGAATTTTTCGAAATCGCCTTCATGGACCGTTTGGAACTTTTCGCACCATCGTAACGAACAACTGCAAAATATACTCTTAATTTTTTAAATCTTCTTGGCTAAAGTTGAAATTAAATTAAATTCCGACAGAGAAATAAAGCTTGTTATAAATAAAGCATACAAAAAAATGTACGCCAAAGCATAAAACATTCCTAGTGAACACAGGCTGATTTCAGGTTTCTAAGAGTCAAAACTGTTTTCATCAAATTATTTAAATTGTTCATTTCCAGTAGCAAGAATGGATATCTACAATATTTAGTCAAAAATAAATAGAGTTATTATTGACCTGATTGGCAAGTTTTGTGCGAAGTTCATGCCAATTCAAAGGACCTTGCAAAACTATGTTAATATAATGCAACGTATAAATTGTTTTTGTGCAATTTACGATCTATTATTTTACTTGAACAAAAGTTTCAATTCCTGAATTACCCAATTGAAGATTGTAACTGTACGGAAAAATATCAGCAATAAGTTAAGTCCAAACACTATCAAAAGGAGAAATATAATTTTTAATACTTTTTAAAAGGATAGTTCCTACTCAAAGTAAGTTGTTTTGTAACGATCCGGATTTCGAGCCTTTTAGCTCATCATCAGGTTGAAGGACGTCTACAACCTGATGGTGAGCTAAAAGGCTCGAAATCCGGATCGTTGCAAAACAACTTACTGTGAGTAGGAACTATCCTTTTAAAAAGTATTGAACACCACACTCACTCCATCATTTATCATTTCTATAATTTTTAATGTGCTTTGGGTTGGGTACATGATTAATTTACAAAGTAAAAAGTTTTGTGAAAAAATGGGACAAAAGGCATTTCTCTGTAGAATGTCATTTATTAATTTTTACAAATTTGAAATTAGTTCAAATCTAGAAACTGGCTTAATAAGCAAACTAAATATTTTAAATTAATTATCAAACTAAACTAACTAAATTTTTCCTACGTCAAGATGTCGGTTCTTCTAGCTTTCGAACTTTAAACTGTTCAGAAGTAGAATTTGTATTGATGATTCATTTGTTTCTTCTTTTACCTCAGCAAATCTCAAAAATCAACTTATAAATCTACAGAAAAAATATGCACAGATTTTGGTTATGAAAACTAAATAAATACAACTTTTAGAACCATAGAGACATGAAAATGTTAATTTCCAACGAGCTAGAGGAATAAAAATCTAAATACCCTTACTTCTTCATTTAAATATACATCAATGGTATTTTTCAATTTCAAATAATCGTATACAATGTAATACACATATCATTAAGTTAAAAAAAAATCAATGTTAAATGTTTTAATTTTTCATTAAAAAATGCATTTTTCTATTTAACAAGCATTTTCTCTTTATAATCGCGATTGCTGTAAGAAATTCTCTCATGGATTTGGAATCGAGGTTTTATTTTTTCAATCGCGTTGCTCGAAATATCCAGGATTTTGTTGTGATTCTTGTGAATAAACTTGCTACCTTCACACAGTATTAGCCTTACAAAGCTGTTCCATTTTCAGGGATAAACAGGTTGTTGAAGAGTGGAGGCGAGCAAAGAAAAAGGCCCTCCAGGTCCGTAATTGTTATGGAAAACCAACGTTTTATAGTCTGTGAGAATACTTTAAATACCCGTGGCTTACCGTTACATCAGCCCTCTAAACTTTATAAAGCATCAACTTTACTCCCCCCCCCCAAAAAAAAAAAAAATCAAGAATTACATTTTTTAGTATGTGTGTTGGTTCAAATACGGAATTGTGCCAAATATTTTTAATCAAAACCATTCCTTTGAGTCTAATCAGGTTTGTTATTATTTTATTAAGATGGTATAAAATTGTGTTTAATGCGCGACGAATGAGCTTTACTATTTTATCTCAGGGAAAAGAGTGAGATAATGCTTCTCGTCAAAATACATTTGTTAATGATCTTTTATTTTTTATAATGTGAATATTAGGAATTTTTTACATACTTCCGTTTGACTATTAGCCAGATGGCCTATATTCACATATTATAGACAGAGTTAAATACAAACCGCTTTAGCAGTAATAAGATTTGAACATGAATATAAAGAGAATAAAAAGTGGTAGAAAAGTGTTTTAAAATTAACCCTAAAAATTAAAGTATTAAGGTATAAAGTAAAATAAAAATTAGAGTATTGTCATAAAAGATATTCAGCACTATCAATATCATGACACTCGTACAATTACTTTCTAAAAAAATGATAAATTCAATCTTTCACTTTTTAAAGCAAGTTCTTTGTAGGTCCGAAAGGGCCGGTAATGAATCGTAGGAATAATGAATGAGTCATTCTTACTTTACTGCATCTAAATAGGCCGTTAAAAACTTTTTTAAGTTAGTACTTTCTTTTACTTTAAAAGTCGCTTTGGGATTTACTCAGGGTTATCAACCTATTGGACGGTTCATAAATATTTATCGTCGGGAGGCTTAACGGACAAGGTTGTAAGTGGATATTTTAAAAGGCACCCTAGCAAGTACAAAAACAGTGGAAGAGGCCGGAAGAGGATGAACCATAGCCTAAACCGCCGCACACTCAATTAAACCTCCATATATTATTTCATTTTTTTTAAAGGAAAATCTTACAGGGTAAAGCAATGATAATGGTCAGACCATCTTGTTAACTATTGTGCTATTCTTCGAACTTTCCTAGAAAAATATTACATGCCCTGCCCTATCTGAACATCAGAAATTAAGATCTTTGAAAGATCAAACAATTTACCTAAGCCTCTTAAAAAATGAAAACATTTTGTATATTAACACGAAGATAATAAACAAAATTGTTCTGCTGAATTGTTTAAACTTTCGTGTGTATTGCATTGTTATAAAATTGGCTAGTGTATACTCAAATTCGAAATCACCGTAAATTATATATTACTATATACTTAGATTTTCTTCTCTTTGACTCTCTAAATGTCCACACAGTGAGTCACTGAATCTGAAGTGAAACTATTAGGGAACATGTCAACATTGACAAATAAATATGATCGGTCAAGAGCATAAGATTGAATTAATAGTGCATTCCAGTGCAGTCGAAGAAGCTATAAATATCCAGTACAGTTTCGCCCAGTTCTACTATTACTGTAGGAACCCCGAAGAGGAAAAAATATAGACAAGTAACTTATAGGCGTGAAAAATTATGTTTTTAATGTTTAATGTGTTTTTTAAACTTATTTTGTACACTCATAGCAAGTCAGTTTTGGCCTAACAGCTAGAAATTGAGTAATCGATAGCTTACTGTACTTCAAGGTTTATAAGGGAAATAAATAATTTGGGACCGGTCGAAAGTTTTACTGGTGTTGAAAAAAATAGAGATGTTTTTTACAAATTCTATCCACTTTGTGTTATTCGTTGAATAGATTTGGCTCTTTGGAATTTATTTTCTTAGTAACTTCCGTGAGGTCTGTCGATAAAACTACAAAGTTCTTGATTCAAATCCCATCGAAACTGGTAATATGAGAGACAAAAAGACCTTTGCCTGAGTGTCACTCATTTTTTTCCAATCATTATGAGAATTAGCAATTTCAAATTAAAACTGTCCGTAATGACACGTTGGAAAGATGCCATTTATAACATTGATGTGATCAAAACCTGTTGGAATTAGGTCAATACTTAAAGACAAACAAAAAATTCCTGGATTAAATTTTCGGGCTTTATAATTGCAACGCCTACAAAAAAAAAGAGTGTACTTGTGAAGATCTTTCGTATCGTTTTTGCCCGACAAATTGTACAGGAAATAGCACACCGCCTCATTTAATAAATTGCCCATTAAGAAGGTTTTTCATATGTAAAATTTTCGTTTTTTAAAGTTGATTCGGTTTGTTTTTAATCGAATATGAATAAGATTCAGTTGTAATTAATTATAATAATAGTAATTGATACAAATAGCCTAATGTTCAATCTTACCG